TTTCTTTCTTAAGATCATACAGAATCCTGTTACATCTTCCACACCTCAATTTATAATTGGTCATAATCATATCAAGTACATATTTTTAAGAAAATTTAAAGTTTCAATTTGAATATTGGAATAATATCTGATGTTTATTTGCATTGCATAAAAATGTAATATCCACATTTACTAATAACTATTTATATTGCTTGCATATATATTTAGGGAGAATCACAGTGATTACATTAGATTTGTTAATACAGTATTTGTAGGGAAAAAGTGCTAATTATAACTACTCATTTTTTTTTCTGTACAAACAAATATTTGATAAAAAGTTATATTATGAATAAAATTTTCAATGTCAGATCATACAAAATATGAAGAAATTCATATCATTCATTCTAGTATTTTTTTTCAATATATGTAACATAGGATTTCTTTAATTAATATTCTTCAAGTCATAAACATAATACTTTATGATAATATACTGAATTCTATTTTTCCAAAGCTTTTTCATTTATAATCTTAAACTTATGTGGACAGTTCAGCACTTACATTTACAGTCGACCCCCCTATAACACTGTTGATTTTTCCATTTTATATGGGTGGGGGTGGCTTGTGGGACTTAAAGTCCCAGAATCCTGGTTATTTCTATCAGGTTGCTGGAGAGAGTCAATGTGGTGATTTTGCTGCTGGATGACTTGATTAAAATTTTTCTCGAGCTCCTGGATCAGAAAGCTTACTCCAGCCAGGCTTTGAATGGCTTTGTCTTTAAGTTCTGTCCGCATGTTGCGGGCGGCCTCTATACACTCTTTGACAGTGAATAGTTTCTCTTTTATTCCTTCTTCTAGCTCCATGATGATGTCTTGAGACTTATCCATTCTAACTCTTTAGGTATTAATTTTATTTATATACTATTCCTATTATACTATTCCTACTATTATTTATATACTATTCCTACTGTATTATTTTAAAACTTTACCTAACCCAGGCACCAGAATGCTTTGGCGACCCCTGCCTTATATGTTTATTCCTGATGATGGCACCATAGCCAAAAACATTAGAAAATTATAAATTTTTGCTGGAACAGGCTGAAACTTTAATTTTTTATTTTTACTTTAAATAAAATAAAGATTTTTACTTTAATAAATTTGAATTAGTTAAAGCAACATATTAGATAAGTTCTTTTTAATGCAAAAACATTCATTTTGTCCTCCTTTCTTAAATTCTTGTTCTTTAAATTTATTTTAATTCTATTACATTACTCTGACTATTTAAGTAAAATGTAATTATGATCTTTATATATACAAGATAAAAGATCATAATTATACAGAAATATCTATGATTTTTATTTACAAAAATAAAATCATAGATTTCTCTGTATAAAATATGTAAATATTTACTTAGAAAGTAATGTTAATTTACAACTATTTACAACAATAAACTGTACATAAATTTAATAAACTGTACAATTTAATGTTTTATCATACACAGATATTCACATCAAAATATTAAATGATTTGACAATATTTCAAAAGCAGTTTTTTCTATAATAAACTAGAAAAATTTGTTGATAAAAAAATTATTCTTTTAGATGATGACAATAAATTATAAATAATATGAATTAATCAAGTAATACCCAAAGAACTGCAACTGATTTACTTAATTTTTAATTAATAACCAGAGCTTTTATATATGTGTTTAACTTTATCTAAAAATTTGTTTCTTCATCCAAAGAGATGAAACAACATTTCATTTCAAACTGTATAGTTAATTCTTGACAATTAATTAAAAATTTTGAACCAAAGAAATAATAAATTTCTGCTAGAAATTAAGAACATTTGTACAAACAACCTATTGGGCTGACATTACCAGACATCAGTCCATTAGGTCATCTCAAACATTACTAGATGTTTCAAGATTAATGCTACAGAATTTTAAAATGTAATTAAAATAAAGAATAAAAACATAGAAATGTTAATCACAAAAATGCATTAATTACAAATATAAAAATACTATAACGAATTAATTATGCAGATAGTAACATAATCATAGATTAACAATTTAGTTTTAGCAAATTCCTAATTCAAATGTTCTACTTTGATTCAGCTTAATAGTTTTTATTCAATAAAAACTAAACCTCAAACAAAAATTAAATTTATTAAAATAAGGATGTGTTAAATGAATTTATTTATCATCATACTGTTTAAAATGTTTTTTTAAAAAAGTGAACTTATGATTTTATCGATTTAAATCATTAAAAAATTTTAAAATGTTTTATTTTATATAGCACAAATATTGATACATTCTTTCGCATAGATTTATGAAAGAATGTAATGTATCTACATGTAATCTATATGTTTTTACAGTTCATTAAAAAAAACTGAATCAAAATTTGGGTTAACACTTAGTCTAGATCAAATAGACACATATACATGTGGGCTTATCACACCAATGAACACGATTAATTCACAAAATCTTAAATGATTATTTAACACCTTATTAATAAAAGTATTAAAGATTTTGTGAATTAATCTTGTTCACTGGTGTGATAAGCCTGCGTGTATATGTGTCTATTTGATCTAGAATAAGTGTTAAACAATATTAAGGGCTAAAAGCAATAGATTATTTCACACTTTGGTTTAAATAATTTTAGATAAAAACTGAAAATTTATAAGTACATTTTAATACAGTACTATATTACTTACTAAATAATTGTTATAGTACAACTTCACAAAAAAGTATTAAATTATATGTTATATTCTTTATGTATTCTTCAATAAATTTCTTTAAATTTAATATTAACTTATCAAAAACAGAAATCATTAGACTAAAATAAAAAATATGTTTTTAAATATTATATAAATTACATAGAATTATATTTAGAATTTATGTAAATAAATAATAATTATAATAGTTAATAAATTACTAAATGAAATATCTGTATAATTTTATTTAAATTATAAATTTTAAAAATTATCAAGTCACAGTTATTAATTAAAATTAACAGTAAAAACACTGCATAAATTTTAAATTGTCCCATATTTTAAAGTAAAAATAGACAATTTAAATAGACCTCTACTTCCAGAAATTAAATATATAAAACATTCATATTATTATGATAATGAAAATGCTATAAAATGTTATACAATATTCATAAACTGAAATTTATTCTAAACACACATAAAACGTTTTAAATAATATTAATTCAAAGGCTATTAAATATATAGTTATTTCAATGTAACAGTTTATGTTTGCCAATTGAAATACATTGTATTTTATTTTTAATTCTGAATTTTGTATTCATAGCTATACTTGTCTGATAATTATGCAGTATTTCTATTTTTTTTTTTTTTTAACAACCAATTTTGTAATTTATGCATTGGTATCATGCCAATACCAATGCACAAATTACAAAATAGAAATAATGAATAAAATATAATAAAAATGGCAAAATAAAGATAAAAACAATACAACATTCTGAATTCTATTAAATTAAACAGAAACATAAATCTAAAATTTTCAACAAAATTAAAAAAATTGAATTTGTTTATAAATCTATAAATTTTTATCCAAATATTTATCTATCGAGATCATTATCACACATCTTTTTATGTATACTGTACATAGAAAGATATCTTCACTTACTGCAAAATTTTTGATAGAATATTATATTTAACATACTTCTTCAAAATGTCTATCTATAAATAGGTAAAGAAAATATCATTTTACCATCAAGGAAAAAAGTTACCTTAACAAATCTTGTTAAATCTCTGTGGATTTTAGGCTATTCATCTGTATTCAGAGACAAAACGAACAGTTTGTTAAAAAAAATATAATCTCGATAAGAAAGTTTAACGAACTTAATTTAGAGATAATCCGAAGCAATGTCAACAGTTGGCTTCAAAATTTGGCACAAATTATTTACAATTTAAATTAAAGTAAGAATTTTAAAAAATAGAGAAATATACAATAAATTTAACAGTAACTAAAGCACAAGATTAATAACCAACATTTAATAAAATAAAATAAAATATTTTAGGAAATGAAATAAAATCAAGTATAATAAATTCTTAACAGATTTATATAAGAAACTTTCATTCACATCTCTATTCTTTTAATAACGATCAAGATATTTACATCCCATATTTACTTAATTCAACATATACAATTTATTAGCTACCTGTTTCTTTTAAAGAACTGCCAAGCCCTTTATTATTCTTCCGTAATTTATATACCATAACACAATCCAACATCGTACTCACATCAAATATAAAAATAACTATGAAAAAATATTCCTTCAAAATTATAATTATCCAAATTCAAATCATAAAAACACATTTTAAGAATTATTTCCAAGATCTGCACTTGGACGTGGGATCGCGCAAATTTTAAATCTCTCGGTCGCCAATGGGCACACCATAAAATAGAAACGGGACCGATTTACAAGCGAACGAAATCACGATTAATTATTATAATTAAACATTATGATAATGAACAACTGGAAGTGTCATTAGGTCGATTCCGGTTATTCTAACATTTAAAAAAAAATCAAAGTGTGTAGTGTATACAGGTATACTTTGTATCTACTGTGAAATATACAATATACATTGCGTACAGTACCTTTATATATATTGTGAAGTGTACTGTACAATTGATAGGAAAGAGAAAAAATTTGAAATTCAAGCAGCACACTTATTTACATTTTAAAATGTAAGTTGTGTATCTCTGTACAATGTGTAAGAGTATCAGTGTATCATTGGTTTCTTATTGCAAGCTTCTGGTGGTGTGTACGAGACGAATTTTAAGGCGAAACGATTGTTTAAACTTAAAATTTTAAAACCGAGTCTTCCTTAAGAGGAAAAAAAAAAAGCTTCATTCAAGGTCAGTAACACAAGCAACAAACATACAATTACAACTCGGATGGCGGTTCGATGTACGTAAAACTAATCCTTATTTTATAAATAGGCGATGGTAGTTTGTTATTAACGCGTTAAACTATTAATTCGATAACTTACCGCTTTGACATCGCCGGTTCTTCGTGTAAATAATGGAACACCTCCGTCAGCTGTCCATGCCATCAGGTGCGCCTCCATTTTCCGTCTGCGATTGAACGCATGCGCGGTAGTTACGGCGGGTGGAAGTCCGGAACGAGGACGTTTTCCCATTTTCACCGACTTTATTAAAAGTTCTCTTAATATTTAAAGAACATAAAATAAAAATTTCAAAAAATGTAATCCAAATATTAATAATTTTAGGTTTTCTCTCGACGATTTAGAAACGATGTTAAAAATTGCACGAAACCATTAAACGGAATTAGAGAGGTGGCGCATCTTTCCCCGGCGGTCATCGAGCGCGCAGTGGAAGAGTCGGAACTCCAAAGCCCGATCCACTGACTTGCAGTACGATCTCTGGGCGGTTACATCATTAATGGACGAACTGGGAATGAGACGATCTTGTCGCCAAAGCCGCCATTGGCGGATGCTGGATAGACCAATAACCGAGCTGTGGGGGTCTCTGGTAGCCACACCTGCGGTGTTTGCCGAGGCAGACGTCGCGGCGCATTACCTTCGACGGTCTTCCTGTTTTTCACAATTAAATCGTTCCTCTTTGTACGAGATTGACAAATAGAGAGACCGCCGATACAACAAACAACATTTTTAATATTAAACTAGAAACTTTCATTTTAATCCGATCACGTATTTTACCCCGGGTGCCTTTTTAACTCTTCCTGGTGCACTTCTTTGTCGTGGAGCGTGACGATTTTATTAATGGCTAAAATCGTTTTAGCTTAATAAACCTTTTTTCCGCGTAAAAATTAAATATAATGGAACTTTAATCGGCCGGGTTCATCGAAAAGTCGAGTTTTAAATCTCCTAAACGTAAATTATGTCGATAATATTAAGCGCAAATAAAATTCTAAATAAATATTTTAATTAATTATAATATTTTCCTGTTTATCTGAGAAATCTTTAAATGAGAAAAAAACTCTGTGGATATCCGGTAAAATCACTAATAATTTGCATAATAATTAGCCAGCTTAAATATTAAAATTCGAAAACAGATAAAAAGTAGAACTGCCGGAACCTGTAAAAATCTTTTATAAAAGACCATCTTAAATAAAATTCATAGTTAATAATTATTTCAATGGTAAAAGATATGGAATGAACTCTTATTTTAATTATCCCGACTTAAAAGTACTCGAGATTTCCAAGATTTTTGTATCTAAAAATAATCGTTCTTCCCATCTACCGTGAATACGTCGCTGCCAGCCGTTCAAAACATTATTCATTTTTCATTTTGTCGTCTTCCAACAATGTACAGATTGTCTAATAAAAGATAACTCCGAAAAATAACGAGAATCTCAATAAGATATTAAACATCACTAGAAAGACTAGTTCAACTACATACATTCAAGAAATGATTTTCCTTTTTACTGGATTTTTTCTTTCCTTTTTATTTTTTATTAATTTTCTGTTAGTCGTGAATAAAAACATGCCTATTAAATTATTATTATTCTAAAAATTATTTTAAATTATAGTCGACTTTTAAAATATTTCTTTCTGTATTACGTTAAACTGTTACGTTTATTTCCACCCAATTTACAGTTTATTATTATTATTGCATTTTTAATTTAATAATAGAAAAATTACCTACCCGAAATATTGACTCGATTATAAAATTCCAACTTTAAGACTTTTTAATGTAAGAGAATGCCAAGTTTCGCTACCGAATCATCTAATCCAATGGTTAGAAATGGTAAAAGGTGCTGAACTTTCATTAGTTTCATTAGAGCCCAGAGTCATTATCTTTCTTTTACGCCTGGCAACAGATGAAAACCGATAACAGCAACGGGCAATTATCACAAATATTATTGTGTTGCATTGACTTACTAAACTTGTTTTGAAGCTATTGTATAAAAAGTTTTTTCTTTCAAATTAAACAATATAAACAATGTCTTCTCTAATAACTTCTATTCGATGCTGATCTAAGTTAATTCACGGCGACTAATATTGTATCGCTCTAAGTTTAGACATAAAAACATTTTAAAACCTGTTTTTGGCCTATAGTGTTCGTTCGATTCAGTACGACTGTATAAATTTCGTTAATTCTTTACGCTTCTAGTTATTATTTTACAAAGCGTAATATCCTGTAATGTTTAACAGAGCAAAGTATTTTTTTCATTTTACTAAACTGTATTCTTCTGCAGCCTGTATTTTGGAAAGGTTATGTCTCCTATGTGGTATTACTCGAACAATGTTATCAGATCACGCTGCATTTAAAAATAATCCAGAATGACTTCGTTGTTACCTCATAAAAAGTTTATATTTGACTTGAGATACATAAATATCTATACGATTTTTCAGCTACCTCAGTCTTAGTAACAGGTAAAATAAAATAAAATTTACCTATTACTATAATAGACGTCTCCAGTTTTTCCTGTATACTATCCTCGTTCTGCCTCTATTCGAAGATTGATCGTAGAATCGATCTTGGTGATTAGGTCTATATTATTGGAGTGTTAATATTCAAATATTAACACGTCAATAATATAGACCTAATCACCAATTTATAGATCAACAAATGAATAAATTTTAAAAAATAACCGAAGTTTATCAGTTTTAGACCCCATTTTCAGTGATTCTGAAATGTATCACCGGTTGGATTTTAAATAATACGTTTAACTATAGGCCTAAAATCTAATATATATACAAGTTAAATATATATAACAATAAATAATATGCCATAAATTAAATTTAAAATATACCGGTATATAAAATATAGTTAACATCACTTCGGGCCTATAAATATTTTCCTAATTTTCCTTCCACGTTTGACCTGTAATCTATTACATAAAAATATAAAGAAATAATTTTTACCGTAATTAACAATTTGTATATTAAAGAATTATCAAAAAATTCTAAATTCTATCCAAAAAATCTATCGGATGTGCAACAATTTCGCATATAAATTCAAAGGAGCATTATGGTGGTAGGCATATCGAGTCATATTGTTATATTAAAATTCCTTTTTAACAGCTGCGCGAAAAAGAGTATTCTCCCAGATTGTCGCGTGCCGAAACTAGTCCACACGTGGCAGACGGGAGGGATAAAAAAGATCTTTTGTTTCCCCATCCAGCTGTCGGGTCTCCAGACGAGAATGCAGTCCGCATCAGCTGTAATTGATAAAAACCATGTGTTCTGTTATGCTTTGACTGGAGGAGAAGTGTTAGGTAAATTTGCAGACCATCTTGGCTGTCTGCAAAAGTTGACTTTTCACAGAGTTCGAGCGGATAAAAAATTCGAAATGTTTTCCTAAAGAATATAATATCTTATATAAAAATATTATTTGAATTAAGATAGTTTTAGCGTGGCCTATACCATATGTTTTGGAAGATACCGCATGTTCTACGTGATACTAAAATAGACCTGAGTAAATGGTCATCCCATAAACTGACAGAGAGATTTATTCGTTCTATTTATAAACACCACCACTCCTTAAAAATATTTTATTATAATATTATATAGTAAACGCCATTTTATTTCATTTTAACGATTCATAAATGTAACCTGTAAATGCTTAATATTTTTTCCACTAAACCAAAAGACAACTTACCTAAGCAATGGTGGATCTAAAAAATTGTTGCAGAGGAACTATTTATTAATGGATAGACTATGTTGACGTTACTGGATGAAATTTTCTGTAAATTATATTTATTTAAAAAATTACATATAAATATTTTTAATGCATAAATTTAAATATTAGATCGTATTCTTCGTTTACAAATCAATTGTTAAACTTTAAAGAGCTGATAAACTACACAGAAAATGCGTTTTATTGATATACTTCATTGTTAAACGTTAGATTGCAGGCTGGATTTGCACATAAGCTAAACAAGCTGCAGCTTAGGGCTTGGCATTATGAGTCCATAGCTTAAGGCCTGACAATTTCGCATGCATCATTATTTATGTTATTTATGTGGGTTGCTTATGTTACATTATTTACGTGGGCCTATTGTTATAACTTATAGGGTCGCAACGAGTCTAAAGTTTAATCCCGATTACATGCACTAATTAATTAATATAAATTAAGTTTATCAATTTTCGTTAAAATTTCGGAAGCTTTCCTCTTACTTTCCATAGAAAAACTTCACAGTAAAGTATGAAAATAGAAATTTTCTAACATAAAAAAGACGAAGATTGAAAAACAGCAAATTTTATCTACAAAAATATTAAAATAATTTCAACTTTTGATTATAATTTGACTGCTTATACGATTTAAATAATGTTAAAAATATTTCAATTTCTAATTATTAAAAGTTTAATCCAATAGAAAAATATAAACTCATAACATTCTCATAAGTGAATTATTGTTATGAGAATGAAGAATAAATTTTACATTTGTAAGTAAATTAAAATTATAAAAAAAGAAATTTTCTGAGTTAAAAAATGAATGAACTATTTTTAGATTTATTAAATCATTAAGCTGTAAATAATAATCAATGAAATTTTACTAAGAGAGGCGATTGTCCCTACACAGTAAATAACATCTCTTTATCAATTAACCACTCTAGGTATTTAAAATTAATAATACTACTACTTCGTTGCATTACATTAGAAAATGCAATTATATTGTATAACAATCGAGAAGGGTAATCATTATTTTTGAATTAGAAACAATGTAATTATTTCAATATAAAATTCTTTTATAAAAGTCGATCTATATAAATTATTCACCTATGAAAGTTATTTATAAATAGGCCCTGTCATAAACGAAGTAAAAATAATTTCGAGTACTCATCTTATTATAAAAGTCTCTTTGGACAGTGGGTGTTGTTTTGAAAGAAGATAAATATGACATAACATGAAGTTGACATGAAAATTATAGATGATAGCTGTCAAGCAGGCTTTCAAAGTATACCGTACAAATTTTCATCGCTGTCTAATTTCTTTTCTCTCATTCTTTAAATAAGCTTTTAAAAATATTTTTCCACGAATTAAAAAAATAAGAATTTCTTTCCAATAAAACGAGATTAATTCCCATTTTCCCTATTTTCTGTATAAGAATTATTAGGTTAGAAAGGTCTTGCCAGCCTACTCGATTGGCGCTCTTCGGATTGACGTGGGCAACGATATATTTCGCTGGAGGCCACGTTAAGAACCCAATACAGCGATGAATCAAAATTTTCTCACGTGGCTCCATTTAAACAGCTATCTACCGGAGGCTACGGCTTTCTCGTCGCATCATTCACGTTTTACACCAACAGATACTAATATTTATATACGAAAAATAATTTGCACTCGAATACATTAACCGTATTCATAAATTTCAGTATTAAAAGCAATAACTCTTCGTTAAATCTGGTTTAATTTATAAATAACTTACCACACTACTTAACGTTATCGAAATGATCAGATGCTCGAAACTATTTGAGCTTTTTCTTCGCTTAATTTTGTTTTTTATTCTCTACATCATTGCCACCGTGAGAACCATTACAAGTTGCCATGTGACCTGTCCACAGTTGTTGACTGATCAAAATGGGGAAAGAAGAGGACGTGAATGGGGGGAGTGATAGTGATTAGTCAGTCCATCAGTGTCTAGATTAGTTGTTTTGTTTCTTACATGCAATGATTATTGTAAGGTTAATGAATCGTAATCTTTTTATATCCGAATATTTACGAGTGGTTTACACCCTCGCTAGATTAAAACTGCTCTTAAAGGTTCTTATCAGATTTATATTTATTATAGTATAAATGTACTTTTTATGGCAATAAAAAATTATATGATTATTATTAAATAGTTATTGTTTCTTGACGGAAAATAAATTGACTGTCGTAAGTTACTAATCGTTACAATGAAAAAAGTTCTGATAAGATTTATGTAACTGATTTCCTTCGGTTCTGATGATTTCATTTCTAATGATGGAATCGTTATTTATGTTGTAGGTAATTATCTAACAAAAAACTGCGTGTAAAAATAAACAAATAATTATGTTAAATTGCTCATAATTAT